CTTAAAATATTTCTTTACACAGAAAGAGTTGAACATGAGGCAGCGGAGATGGTTAGAACTGATAAAAGACTATGACTTACAAATTTTGTACCATCCTGGGAAAGCCAACACCGTTGCTGATGCATTGAGTCGGAAATCAATTGGGAATTTAGCCTGTTTACTCACCAGACAAAGAATTGCTATGTGACCTTGAAAAATTTGAATTTGAGATTGTTTTGCGTGAACAAGGTGGAACATTGGCTGCTATTTCTGCTCAACCGGCACTTATTGAGGAGATTAAAGAGAAACAACACCAAGATGACTATCTGAAAAAGATCATTGATGAACGGGAATCCAAACCAGGACCAGGCTTCAAATTTGAAAACAATGTGTTGAAGTTTCAGGAAAGGTTGTGTGTACTGAATGATTCCAAACTGAAAAGACGAATTTTACAAGAAGGCCACAACTTAAAACTTTCCATCCATCCAGGAAATACAAAAATGTATCAAGACTTGAAACTGAATTTCTGGTGGCTGGGAATGAAGAAGGAAATTGCCGAGTTTGTATCGAAATGTCTACATTGCCAACAAGTCAAAGCCGAACATTAACGACCCGCAGGCTTACTTCAGTCCTTACCAATACTGGAGTGGAAATGGGAACATATCATTATGGATTTCATTGTCTGTTTACCTCGCTCTAGTAAAGGTATGGACTCAATTTGGGTTATTGTTGATAGATTGACTAATTCTGCCCACTTCTTAGCTGTCAAAACAATCTATAATGTGGACAAATTGGCTATAATTTATATTGACGAGATTGTTAGATTACATGGAGTGCCTGTATCTATTGTTTCTGACAGGGATTCGAAGTTTACATCGAGATTTTGGCAAAGTCTGCAGACAGCATTGGGTACCGAATTGAGGCTGAGTAGTGCCTACCATCCTCAGACAGATGGCCAGTTAGAAATGACCATCTAGACTTTGGAGGATTTACTGCGTATGTGTGTTCTTGATTTCCAAGGAAATTAGGAAAATCATTTACTGTTAGCCGAATTTGTCCACAACAATAGCTTTCACTCGAGCATTGGTATGGTGCCTTTTGAGGCTTTATATGGCAGAAAATGTCGATCTCCTATCTGGTGGGCAGAAGTTGGAGATGGGCCTTTGCTTGGGCCCGAGATTGTACAAGAAACCACTGAAAAAGTGAAACTGATCCAACAAAGATTAAAAACTGCACAAAGCCGACAAAAAAGTTATGTGGATGTCCGAAGATGGGACAGGGAATATGAAGTGGGTGATCATGTTTTTGTTAAAGTGACACCAATGAAGGGCCAAACTCGCTTTGGAGTCAAGGGTAAGCTAGCACTGAGATATGTCGGACCGTATGAGATCATTGAAAAGATTAATCCGGTGGCGTATCAAGTAGCGCTCCCTCCTGAAATGGAGCATATGCATAATGTCTTCCATATTTCAATGTTGAGGGATTATCTTCGGGATCCCTTCCATGTTATTGAGCCTACCCGTGTAGTGCTAAGTGATGACTACACTTATAAAGAACGACCTATTCAGATTGTAAACCAACGAATCAAGAAATTGAGAAATAAAGAAATCCCGTTAGTGAAAGTGGACTGGCAAAACCATGGTGGCATTTATGCCACTTGGGAAAGGGAAGATGATATGATGAAAAGATATCCTGAACTGTTCCCCCCTGAATTCGGTGTTCTTCCAAAATGAAGGTAATTCGAGTTTGGAGGACCAAACTCTTTCCAAGGAGGGAAGACTGTGACAACCCTCACCTCTGATTAGTGCTAATCTATGTTTAAGCATGATAAGTAACTGATTAGGATGAAATCCTAGATTGATTACATGAGTGTATTGTTTGTATTTGCATTTCTATCTGTTTGACTATAGACTGATCTGTTCGTGATCTGATTTCGAACCGCAAATTGAAGGCCTTATCGGCGGCCGAAGCAGAAATTGATTAGTGTTATATGCTAGTTAGAAGTTATCTGATTTTATCGTAAGTTTAATGAAAATTTGGTTTGGAATGATTAAATTAGATTAAATAAAGTTAAATTACATTAGTTTGCATTTACTACCATTTTGCCATTGAGTGGTTTATGCTAGGCCACTACTTCTCTCACCCTTGCATATGTTTGAGGCATCATTTGCTCATCTTCTTGAGACCAAACCGTGAGAGAGGGAGAGTAGGAGAGAAAACTTGAGTTCATCAAAATTGGCTTGGAGAGTTAGGAGAATTGAAAGGAATTTGCATAATTGAGCTTCTATACTTTGAATTCAAGGCCTAAGGTAGGAAAATCATATTCTTAATTGTGAATTCAAGTTATCTCTTGCATGTTTCATGGAAATTTGGAGTTAAAGTCAAGAATTGGTTTAAAGTATAGAGTTGAGAGTGAATTCATGCATGCATGTACATATTCTTGAATTTTGAGGTTGTTCTTCATGAATTTCCACATGCATATCTACATTTTGGTTGTAGTCCATGAATTCACCATAGTTTTGAGCTCAATCTTGCATTTGGTTATGTTTTGGAGCATTGGAATTCATTAGAACTCATGCATGTTAAGTTCTTGTATTGTTCATGAAAGTTCCTTTGAAATTATGTTCAATTGTCTCACCTTTGGGCTTGATTTTACAAAATTGATCTTTGAAACATGTTGTACTATGAGTCTTCAAGTGTTTTCCAGAAAATTAGCCCAAAAGAATCGAGTTTGAAGCTTTAGAAGTTGAATTTTGTGCTTGAGGATCAATCTGAAAATTCTAGATTTTGGATCCACGCTCGAGCGGAGGACTTCACGCTCGAGCGTACACTCTGAGTACATGCACTTCCGCTCGAGCGTAGGAAGTCACGCTCGAGCTTGAAATGCATATGCCCAGAAGTTCATATGTTTTGCAGTCCGCTCGAGCGAGAGAATTTACGCTCGAGTGAGGATCTGAGTCTCACGCTCGAGCGGAGGTCGAGCGTCCGTCGAGTGTGAAAATTGTGCATCCAGTACTTTTTTCATGAGTTTACAGTCCGCTCGAGCGAGGGAAGTCACGCTCGAGTGGAGCTCCTTTGTTTGCATGTCCACTCGAGCGTAGAAAGCCACGCTCGAGCGAGACCCCTGTTTCAGCAAATTTTGAAAAGTGTTTTAAAGTGTAACTTTTGCATCCTCATTCCATTCTAGGCATTCCTAGGCCAAGTTTAAGGCATCTTAATGAGGATAATGTTATAGAACCACACCAAGTCAAGATTAGGAGCTAAGTTATTAATCCCGAGTGTGTGTTTGTTCTGCAACTGTAGGGTTGGCATCCGATGACGCTCATTAGCCTATCTGTAGCCCAGTACTCTGTGAGTAACAATGTTGTAAAAATATGTTCAATTATGATTATTTTTTGAATGATCAGCTGTACTGCTTACTGAAATGCTATTGTTCAATGAATGAATATTTGTCTTATTTGTAAACTGTACTCGTGGCATCCATAGCAACCTACTGTTACTGTTACCGTCACTGCTACTGTTACAGAGATCTCTGTCAGTTCCCGTGTTGGAACTACTACTGTTTACCGTTATGAAGGCCATCAACTGACTGTTCGGTCTGTTAAGACCTACTGTACTGTTTTGCTATTGGATGTACCACATATGACTGCTTTGGTTTCTAAATGACTGATATGACTATTTAATTACTGAAAAGACATTCATTCTTAACCTCTTTACACAGCTATTATTCACTGGGCTTTAACTTACTGTTTATATTTATATGTAGGCGTCCAGGCACTAGACCGAAGCTAGGAGCGTCAAGTTAAGCTCCCGTTTTGTCAAGCCAACCACCGTGCCTCACCTCGAGGTTCCGAGTCTGTTCAAGCTAAAGCTATTTTGGGGTGTCTCAGTTTCACCCTTTTATTTCTGATCTGTAATAAATGTTTAAGACTTGACTGTACAGTTATAGTTAGGGATTTGGTCCCTGACATAGATGTTTGTGGATATGTCGCATGTATATATGTTTTGTTTATCAACGTGACTTATGCATAAAGTCTTTTTGCATTCAGACTGTCACAGCTCATTGGAAATATTTTATTTACCGTTTTGGCTTCCGCCAGCACCTTTACTCTGTATTACTGTCATTACTGTTAAGCAGGCCTTCGGTAATCACGGATTCCTGGCCGGTTACGGTGCTAAACCCATAGGGGCGGGTTTGGGTCGTGACTCCTAGCCTCAAGTAAGCCACATCACCATCTTTCCTTCTATTTTCTTTTTCAGATACATGTTATTGGAAGTTTAAAATCATATTTTCAGATATGTTGTAATGGTATTCATATGTTCTGAGATGATGAGTTGAGCATTGATCCTTCTTTTACTTATATCTTTTCTTAATAGATCACTAGAACAAATTGCATTTTTGGCGACCAAATTTGATAACTAAAAAAAATTTAGTCGCCAAAAGTTGTGGAATTGGTGACCAAAAATTATATTAGTCAGAAAAAATATAATATTTTACTACTAATTGTTTCTAGTCAGGGTATATTGATTATTGGCGACTGGAAAAAAATTTAGTCGCTAAAAATGCCACAATTGGCAACTAATTTGTCGCAGTATAGTTAGTTTTGGCTACTAAAATTATTTAGCCGCCGAAAGAAAAACAAAATTTTACTTTTTATCTTTGGTCGCCAAAAATTTATTTTTAGCGACTGAAAAAAATTTTAGTCGTTGTATATTTAGTTTTGGCTACTAAAATTATTTAATCACCGAATGAAAACAAAAACTTACTTTTTATCTTTCGTGACCAAAAGTTTGGACGCCAAAAATTTATTTTCAGGGACTAAAAAATTTTTAGTCACCAAAGAACTAAAATATTTAGAGGGAGACTTTTCAAATTTTGGAGGGATTTATAAAATTAATTGGCAACCAAAATGTTTAGTCACGTATTGTGTAAAACGATTAATAACCATATATATTTTGTTTCCAAAAACCCTAAAGAAACCGACTCCTCTATCTCTCTTCAGCGTCTCTCTCTCTCTCTTTCTCTCTCTCTCTCCCTCTCTGTTGCTATTCTCTCCTCCCTCTTTCACCCCCACTCCACCAGCCATGGAACAACTCTCCTCCTCCGCTCCTCCTCACGTTTGCCGGCAACCGAAGCACCGATTCACTCCTTGTTGGCAACCGGAACAACTCTCTTCATAGTGTATACTATTTGGTTTGGAACTCTAACGGTGCTGCCCCTTTGTGTCCCTCTCTCACATAGTCAATAGCGAGCAACGCCAATTGTGACCCTCTCTCTGGTCGTTGCCCTCTGTCCTCTCTCTGTTGTTCGATTTTCAAGTTGTGGACTTGCATTCCGGTGCCCAGCACCTATGCTACCACTCCTGCTCCTCCCCTCCTTGCGGCCTCGTCTCCGTCTCCGGCCTTTTTCTCGTCTCCTTTCAGCTTCGTGATCCATCTTTCTTATTCGGCTTCGTCCTCTACTGGTCCTGGAACAAGGTCTCTCTCACCACTCATATACATATAAACATCTCTATATATATATAGTATGAAGTTAAACTATTTGATAAAACGCTTCTTAGAACTCTATTACACATGATTGTGGGCTTCGAATCTAACATGTTTGATAAAAAGCTTCTTCGAACTCCAAAATACATAACTGTGAGATTCGATTTGATAAAACTCTTCCTAGAACTGTAAAACATATAGTTGTGAGCTTTGAAGCTAACTTGTTTGATAAAATGCTTCTTAGAACGGTTATACATAATATTTGTACTTTTGCTGATGTGAAACTGTAATACTACTACTTTATGTAATAATGCTTGGTTAATCTGTTTTCAAAATCGTGCAGCCTCATGTGGAAGTTAAGTGCTTCCCAGCAGAACCAATTAAACCGCTTGCTTCTAATAGTGACGGGACTTATATAGTTGGAGGAGGTGTTTTTGGGGAAATATATTCATGAGAGGTGAATATTTTATTCTCTTAATATGTTTTCATATCTTGTCTTTTGCAAATTTATGTAATTAGCATTGAAAAGAGTCCTGAAGTTTGAAGAATTAGTGTTAGCTGGACTTCGTTTTTGAGTGGTTTATATTGATGAAAGATTTGTTTACGTCTTAACCATTAATAAAGAGGCATTATTGTAACTACTAGCAACCAAAAGTAGTAGCAAATGACCTTCGCCCAACTATTAAAAAACTTATAAATACATGGTTGTTTGTCTTTGTAACAGGTCATACTGTGTGTGCATCATCCAAAAATCAATTTCTATCTACAAATACATAACAAATCCTCAATTGATATATGGTTGCATGCATCTACAAATAGAGAACTATTTCTTAATTTATGCTAAGCCAATTGTTACTACTTATTTGCAAATTTTTATTCTCTTTGTTTATGTCCATTTTCTCACTTAGTTGTTGATTTTTGTTTTGTTTTGTTTTGTTTTTTATTTTATTTTTTATTTTTTTTCTCTAATTTGTAATTTGTTGATATGTTGAATTTTTTTTTTCTTTTTTGGTACTTTTCCCATAACTATTTTTAGGTTGGAAAAAAGAGGACTCCTCCTTATTGGGATGCCTAGCGAGTGGGCTTCTTTTGAGATGAGCTTCCCTGTTGTGTTTTCAGAGCAATAACCTCCTAGTATGCAGCTTTAGTTTTACTGCTTCAACATTAATTTTATAATTGTTATAATTTGAAATGCCAATTTTATTGAATAAGTGCTAATGGTTAAATTTTATTTTATTTTACAGATTGCTTTTGCATGGGCTATTGTGGATATTTATTTTTGTGTACGAAGAGCATTTGTTCTGTAAATGGAAGACATTTTTTTTTTCAATCCTCTATTTTGGAAATCCAGTATTTTTGTATATAATATTTAATTTAGATGGATAATACATAGTTGGTATGGATTTATATGATATTTGGAATATGATGCTACTGTAAGTTTCTGTATTTCTGTATATACAATTGTATCTTTGATTACAATAAGACTTTAGAATATATAGCCCTAACTCCTAAACCAAAAAGGAAATACAATACGATCATGACTCTAATAAGACTCTAATACAATCATGCCTCTAATAGGACTCTAAATTAATTTGTAAGATTCACAATATATTTCACAATATATTTTTACACCCCCGCTCAAACTCAAGGTGTTTTAGCAGAAAACACGGCGAGTTTGCTAAGAAAAAACTGAAACCGAGCAGTAGTGTGAGTCTTGGTGAAGAAGTCCGCAAGTTGCAAAGTCAAAGGGATGAAAGGAAGCGAGATAGAGGCAGACTGCAGATGCTGGCGAACAAAGTGACAATCAATCTCAATGTGTTTTGTCCGCTGATGGAAGACTGTATTGTGGGCAATCTGAACAGCACTACGATTGTCACAATAGAGAGAGGTCAAAGAAGACTGAGAGACACCCAAATCAGAAAAAAGACAACAAAGCCAAACAATCTTAGCAGTGGCATGAGCCATAGCACGATACTCAGCTTCGGCATTAGAGCGAGCAACGACTGATTATTTCTTGCTTTTCCAAGAGATCAAGGAATCACCAAGAAACATACAGAAACCAGACGTACACTTGCGATCAGTAACATCACCAGCCCAATCAGAGTTAGCATAGGCCATCAAGTCCAAAGAGGAAGTAAAGGACAATAGTAAGCCCTGAAATATGGTACCCCTGAGATAGCAAAGAATGCAAACCAAAGCAGCCCAATGGGTAGAGCGAGGAGTAGAAACAAACTGACTAACTACATGAAATACATAAGCAAGATCAGGGCGAGTGACAGTCAGATAAACTAAACAACCCACAAGCTCGCGATATAAAGTGGGATCATCCAGAGGGACACCATTAGTAGAATTAAGCTTCACATTAAGCTCAATGGATGTATCAGAAACCTTAGTATTGGTAAGACCAGCACGGTGAATGACTTCATTAGCATACTTAGCCTGAGACAGAAAATAGCCCTTTGGAGAAGAAGTAACCTCAATATGAAAAAATACCATAATGGACCCAAATATTTTATTTCGAAGGTGCAGAAGAGATGCTGCTTGACCTCAAAGATAGCAGAATAGTTAGAGTCAGTGATGATCATATCATCCACATAGAGTAAGAGAGCAACAAAACCAGCTGATGTATGTCTCAGAAATAAAATAAAGTCGGAAGCAGAAGAATGAAACCTAAGCTCGGTAACAGCAGTCTGAAAGCGATCATACCAAGTACGATGAGACTGCTTCAAACCATACAGAGCACGCCGAAGACGACAAGCGTGGCCAGAGGAATAGGGAAGGCCAGGAGGAGGACGGATGTAAACCTTCTCAGTAAGATGGTCATTAAGAAAAACATTCTTAACATCCATTTGATAAAGCGGCCAAGAACGAATAGCAACAACAGAGATCAAAGTACGGACAATAGTCATTTTGGCAACAGGAGCAAATGTCTCCTCATAATCAATATCATACTCATGAGAGAAATCTTTGGCAATCAAACGAGCTTTGTAGCGCTCAAGAGACCCATCAGATTGAGTCTTGACTTTGTAGACCCATTTGCAACTAACCAAGTTCTTACCAACATACAAAGGAACTAGCCCCCAAGTACTAGTTTTCTTTAGAGCAGACAACATATCCTCCATAGCGTGAACCCAATGAGGATCCTGACATGCCTCTTTGTAAGACTGAGGTTCTGAAAAAGAGTGAATAACAGACAAAAAAGTACGATAGGAAGTAGAAAAACATGTATTAGACTAACCCAACCTGTTTGGAGGATGACGCGCTTGAGTAGGATATCGGTGTTAGCAGGATCAGAGTAGTCAAAAGTAGGAGGAGCAGCAGCAGGGGCAAAGACAACTAGTGGAGGAGGAGCCTTGCGACGAGAATAAACTAATAACGGAGAAGGAAAAGAAGCTGAAGGTGGAGAAACAACCAAAGGTGAAGTAGGAGGAGAAGATAGAACAAGCTCAAGAGGAACAGTTGAGATGTATTCATCAGACGAGACCTCAGAAGGAAAGGGGTCAATATGAACCAAATCCTCTTTGGATACTGAAGCAGTGAGAGGGGGAAGTTGAAAGTAAGACAGACGTTCGAGAAAGGCAACATGACGGGAGACATAAAGGCGACGAGAGGCAGGATTGTAACAGCGATAGCCTTTCTGAGTAAGATTGTAACCCAAAAAGACACATAAGACAGACCGGGCACTGAGTTTGGTCTTATTTTGACAAGGAAGTAGGACAAAACAAGTAGACCCAAAGACACGCAGGAGGGAATAATTGGGAGGTTGGGAATACAAAGCCTCATAAGGGGATCGACTAGAGAGTAAGGGAGTCAGCATGCGATTAAGGAGGAAAGCAGCGGTAAGAACTGCCTTACTCCAGAATGGTGCCGGAACAAAAACAAAGAGAAGAAGAGATCGAGCTGTCTCAAAGAGATAACTGTGTTTACGCTTAGCACGACCATTTTAGGCAGGGGTATCAGTACAGGAGGTTTGGTGAATGGTGCCCAATTTGGCCAAATACTCACAAAATTCAATTTTAAAGTATTCCCTACCCAAGTTAGACCAGAGTATTTTAATTGTGGCCCCAAACTGTGTAGTGATCATAGACTGAAAGGTATGATATATTTGGTAGAAGTCAGATTTATGAGCCATAAGATAAACCTAGGTGCAGCGGGTACAATCATCAACAAAGGACGCATAATACGCAGAACCCTCTTTAGTGGGAACAAGAGAAGGTTCCTAGACGTCAGTATGTACAAGAGAAAAAGGGGAAACAGAAATAGAAGTACTGGTATTAAAAGGTAAAGCTGTTATTTTAGCAAGTTTACATCCTCGACACTCATTAATTTGACTAGGAGAAACTTTACCTAACAATCCATCCGCCCGAACCGCTAAGGCAAATTCACCATTATTTGCCAACCGAACCGCCGGTTTTTGATAAGGAAAATGGCAAATTCTAGTGACACTTTTATCAATCCGCCACCCGCCATACGGTTTTCATTTTTCTCTCAAACCGCACCGACCCGCACCGCGCACACCCCTACCACCAACCATGGAACAACTCTCCTCCCCCGCTCCTCCTCACGTTTGCCGGCAACCGAAGCACCGATTCACTCCTTGTTGGCAACCGGAACAACTCTCTTCATAGTGTATACTATTTGGTTTGGAACTCTAACGGCGCTGCCCCTTTGTGTCACTCTCTCACATAGTCGATAGCGAGCAACACCGATTGTGACCCTCTCTCTGGTCGTTGCCCTCTGTCCTCTCTCTGTTGTTCGATTTTCAAGTTGTGGACTTGCATTCCGGTGCCCAGCACCTATGCTACCACTCCTGCTCCTCCCCTCCTTGCGGCCTCGTCTCCGTCTCCGGCCTTTTTCTCGTCTCCTTTCAGCTTCGTGATCCATCTTTCTTATTCGGCTTCGTCCTCTACTGGTCCTGGAACAAGGTCTCTCTCACCACTCATATACATATAAACATCTCTATATATATATAGTATGAAGTTAAACTGTTTGATAAAACGCTTCTTAGAACTCTATTACACATGATTGTGGGCTTCGAATCTAACATGTTTGATAAAAAGCTTCTTCGAACTCCAAAATACATAACTGTGAGATTCGATTTGATAAAACTCTTCTTAGAACTGTAAAACATATAGTTGTGAGCTTTGAAGCTAACTTGTTTGATAAAATGCTTCTTAGAACGGTTATACATAATATTTGTACTTTTGCTGATGTGAAACTGTAATACTACTACTTTATGTAATAATGCTTGGTTAATCTGTTTTCAAAATCGTGCAGCCCCATGTGGAAGTTAAGTGCTTCCCAGCAGAACCAATTAAACCGCTTGCTTCTAATAGTGACGGGACTTATATAGTTGGAGGAGGTGCTTTTGGGGAAATATATTCATGAGAGGTGAATATTTTATTCTCTTAATATGTTTTCATATCTTGTCTTTTACAAATTTATGTAATTAGCATTGAAAAGAGTCCTGAAGTTTGAAGAATTAGTGTTAGCTGGACTTCGTTTTTGAGTGGTTTATATTGATAAAAGATTTGTTTACGTCTTCACCATTAATAAAGAGGCATTATTGTAACTACTAGCAACCAAAAGTAGCAGCAGATGACCTTAGCCCAACTATTAAAAAACTTATAAATACATGGTTGTTTGTCTTTGTAACAGGTCATACTGTGTGTGCATCATCCAAAAATCAATTTCTATTTACAAATGCATAACAAATCCTCAATTGATATATGGTTGTATGCATCTACAAATAGAGAACTATTTCTTAATTTATGCAAAGCCAATTGTCACTAATTTGCAAATTTTTATTCTCTTTGTTTATGTCCATTTGCTCACTTAGTTGTTGATTTTTGTTTTGTTTTGTTTTGTTTTGTTTTTATTTTTTATTTTTTTTTTCTCTAATTTGTAATTTGCTGATACGTTGATTTTTTTTTTCTTTTTTGGTACTTTTCCCATAACTATTTTGAGGTTGGAAAAAAGAGGACTCCTCCTTATTGGGATGCCTAGTGAGTGGGCTTCTTTTGAGATGAGCTCCTGTTGTGTTTTCAGAGCAATAACCTCCTGGTATGCAGCTTTAGTTTTACTGCTTCAGCATTAATTTTATAATTGTTATAATTTGAAATGCCAATTTTATTGAATAAGTGCTAATGGTTAAATTTTATTTTATTTTACAGATTGCTTTTGCATGAGCTATTGTGGATATTTATTTTTGGGTACGAAGAGCATTTGTTTTGTAAATGGAAGACATTTATTTTTTTACAATCCTCTATTTTGGAAATCCAGTATTTTTGTATATAATATTTAATTTAGATGGATGATACATAGTTGGTATGGATTTATATGATATTTGGAATATGATGTTATTGTAAGTTTCTGTATTTCTGTATATACAATTGTATCTTTGATTACAATCAGACTTTAGAATATATAGCCCTAACTCCTAAACCAAAAAGGAAATACAACACGATCATGACTCTAATAGGACT